TTGTTTAAAAAAAGAATTCTTGAACTCAGTCCCACAAGAACAAATACAGTATAAAACCATTATTGTAGAATGAGTATGAGGATCTGAGATGGGGGTGACAAAAGGGGGAAGCAGAGGGATGAGGATTTGGAGTGGGGTAGGATTAATCATAGGGTCGCACAATTTGATGAGAGGTGAGGGAAATTGGAAGAATCTGGTGTGAAAAACAACTTATTTGAATTCTGTAAATAAATTAGTAAATAATAATAATAATAATAATAGTTCTTAAGAGGAGACTGTCCATTCTTCTCCAGCAGAGCAGCTGGTGGTCTTGAACTGTAAACCATCGATATTGCAGCATAGTTCCTTGCTACTAGGCCACCAGAGCTCCCTATAAGTAGTAGTTAGACATTTAAACAAATCTGGGAGCAAGGCATTGTTAAATTTAACAAAGATTCACCCTGAAACCCACAGCGTCCCTTTTCAGCAGGAAGTAGCTAAGAGAATATGCCATCCCCTTTTCCTTATGAATCAGGGTGAAGTCTCTCTCAGGGAGGAGTGATAGGGAATGGCAAAGGACACACTGACAAAGGAGATTAATCAGAACTGACTTTGACAAGCACTGTGGCAATTGGACAATTAAAACAGACATTCGGATGGCGGGGAAGAAGAACAAACTCGGGAGGAGGGTGGAGAGAATGGTGCGGCAATGAAGGAGTGAAAGCCCAGAATCCCTGTGAATGTTCATTGAAACTAATAAAATTTAATAATAATTAAAAAAACATTTAACAAAGAATACTATATGCAGAACAGATTATCCAGGAGGCTAGGCTCTATGAGGAGAAGTGTGGCATCAGGATTGGAGGTAGATTTATCAACAATCTGTGTTATGCAGATGATACCTCCCTGCTTGCTGAAAACTGAGGAGGACCTGAATTGCTTGATGCATAAGGTCAAGGACTGCAGTCTTCAATATGGATTGAAACTCAACATCAAGAAAAGATTCTCACTACTGGGCCGACTGGCAGCATCATGATAAGACAGTGAAGAGATTGAGATTCTTGACCGCTTCAGTTTGCTTGGCTCTACAATCAACACTTTTGCTACCAGCACCCAGGAAATTAAAAGACATTGCATTGGGGAAGTCTGCTGTCAGAGACCGCTCCAAGGTACTGAGGAACAACTATATCAGTCTGGAGATGAAGGTGCACCTGATACAGGCCATGGTCTTTGCCATTACTTGCTATGCTTCAGAGAGTTGCACACTGACTAGGAATGACAGAAAGAGAATTGATGATGCCTTTGCGCTTTGGTGAGGGAGAAGAGTACTGAATATACCATGGACTGCTAGGAGAACAAACAAGTTCGTCCTGGAGAGGGAGAAGGCAATCTGCTCCTTGGAGGCAAGGTTTCTAAAGCTTCATCTAACATACTTTGGACATGTTGCAAAGAGGCACCAGTCCTTGGTCAGAGACATCATGCTTGGGAGGGTGGAGCGACTGCGCAGTAGAGGAAGATCCTTAATGAGATGGATGGATTCCGTCAATGGAGTAATGGGGATGGGTGTGTTGGAGACAATAAGATTGGCAAGGGAAAGAGCAGGTTTTAGGGCTGTTGTACATTGAGTCACTATGAGCTGCAAGCTACTCGATGGCACATAACAACTACAACAACCACCTGATTTATAACCACTACATGAAACAACTGAGCACACTCAGACTAGCAGAAATGGCGATTGAGGCTGAGCCCTCAAATATGGAAACACAAAAAAGACAAACAGTTATAAGCAGATACTAGCGATTGGAACATGGAATGTGAGAAGCATGAATGTAGGAAAATTGGACATTATTGAGAAAGAAATGGAACACAGAAATACTAACATACTGGGTATAGGCGAAATGAGATGGACTGGCTTGGGACATTTTGGAACAGATGATCATTAAGATCTACTATGCCAGAGATAAAAAGGTGAGGAAAAATGAGGTTACTTCCTTTCATTGTTTAAAATAAACAGTCATTTCTAGATCCATCTTGATATACAATGTTGTGAGTGACAGAATAAAAGCCATACACATACAAAGAAATCTAATGAATATCACTATCATTAAAATATATGCACCAACAACTAGAGCTAAGAAGGAGGAAATAGAAGATATCTAACAACTTTTGCAGTCAGAAATCAACTGAACATGCAATCAAGATGCATTAGTAATGGGTGATTGGAATGCAAAAGATGGGAACAGAAAAGAAGGATCAGTAGTTGGAAAACACGGACTTGCTGACAGAAATGAAGCTTCAGATAGAATGATAAAATTCTGTACAGTAAATGAATTATTCATTGCAAATGCTTTTAATAAGAAACACAAACACAGGCTAAACACATAGATTTCACCTGATGGTATGCATAGGAATCAGATCTATTTGATCTGTGGAAAAAATCATTGGAAAAAGCTAAGTATCAGCTGTGAAAACTAGGCCAGGTGCTGATTGTGGAACAGATCATCAACTACTCATATACAAGCTCAAGCTGAAGTTAAAGAAAATTAAATCCAAAGAAACCAAAATTTGACCTTGAGTCTTTCACACTTGAATTTCAAAACTATCTTGGGAACAGGTTTAAGGTTTAAACACCAATGAGCAAAGAGCAAATGAGCTATGGGAAGATAAAGAATATCATCCAGGAAGATTATAAAAGGTCATTACAAAGACTGAGGAGGAAGAAAAGACCAAGATGAATGTCAGACAAGATTCTGAATATTGCACTAGAGTGCTAAGAAGCCAAAGCAAAGGGAAGAAATCAAGAAATTAAGGACCTGAACAGAAGATTTCAAAGGGCAGCATGGGGAAACAAAATAAAATATTATAATAATGAAATGTGTTGGAGTCAGAAAATCAAAAGGGCCAAATTTACTGAGCATTTCTTAAGCCGAAGGAACTGAAGAACAAAGCCTTGAGTTGCAATACTTATGGATACTTTAGGCAGAATATAAAGTGATTCATGAAGCATTAGAAGATGGAGTATTATATACAAGGACCTTGTACAAAAAGGAATTGGCTGACTCAGAAAAATATCATGAAACAACATATGAGCAAAAGCCTGTGGTAATGAAGGAAAAAATTCAAGCTGCTCTGAAGGAATTGGCAAAAAAAAAAAAGGCCCCAGGAACTGACGGCATACCAAATGACATATTTCAACAAACTGATACTGCCCTGGATGTGCTCACCAAGTCATGTCAAGAAATCTGGAAGACAACCACCTAGCTAACTGACTGGAAGAGATTCGTATTTGTTACCATTTCAAAGAACGGTGACCCAACAGAGTGCAGAAATTATGGAAAAGTAACATTAGTATCATATGTAAGCAAGATTCTGATAAAAATTATCCAAAAACAACTGGAACAACACATAAACAGAGAATTGTCAGATGTGCAGTCTGGGTTTAGAAGAGGCTGTGGTACTAAAGATATTATAGCTAATGTTAAGCGGATCTTGGCTGAAAGTACAGAGTACCAGAGGAAGGTCTGTGTTTCATTGACTACGCAAAGACTTTTTTTTTTTTGACTACGCAAAGACTTTTGACAGTGTGTATCACAATGAACTGTGGCTAACTCTGAGAAGAATGTGAATACCAGAACACTTGACTGTGCTTATGTGAAACCTATACAACAACAATTGTGGCTAATATTAAGAAGAACGGTAATCCCGGAACACTTGACTGTGCTCCTGTGAAATCTGTACTTGGACCAGGAGGCAGTCATTAGAACAGAGCAAGGAAACACCGCATGGTTCAAAACTGCAAAGGATTTACACCAGCAATGTGTCCTATTCTCCATATCTTTTCAATCTATATGGAGAACAGATCATCAAGGAGGCTGGGCTCTATGTGTGGCATAGAGGAGGAAGACTTACCAACAGCTCGTGTTATATAGAAGACACAACCCTGCTTGTTGAAACTGAGGAGGACTGAACCACTTGCTGCGGGTCAAGGACTGCAGCCTTCAATATGGATTGAAGCTCAACGTCAAGAAAACAAAGATTCCCACCACTGGGCCAATTTGGCAGTATCATGATGAAGGTGATGTATCAGGTGAAGAGACTGAGATTGCTGTTAACAATATGTTAACAAAGCTGTAAGCTTTAATTTGCTTGGCTCCACAAACAACACTCTTGGTACCAGCAGCCAGCAAATCTAATGACAAACGGCATTGGAAAAGTCTGCTGCCAGGGACCTCTCCAGAGTACTAAAGAGCAATGATGTCAGTCTGGAGACTAAGGTGTGTCTGATCCTGGCCATAGTCTTCACAATCATTTGCTACACATCAAGCTGGGCAACAACTAGGGATGACAGAAAGAGAATTGAGGCCTCCGACCTATGGTGCTGGATAAGAGTATTGAATTTACCATGGACTGCCAGAAGAACAAACAGGTTAATCCCAGAGAAGGTAAAACAAGGCTGCTCCTTGTAGGCAAGGATTCTGAGGCTTCATCTGACATACATTGGTCAAAGAGGGACCAGTCCTTAGAGAGGGACATCACGCTTGGAAGGGCAGAGGGACAGTGCAATAGAGGATAAGATAATTTGATTCAGTGACTGGAGTAATAAGGGTAGGTGTATCAGAGACAGTAAAGTTGTCACAGGTCAGAGCAGGGTTCAGGGCTGTTGTACATAGGATCCCTATGAATTCCAAGTGACTCGATGGCACATAACAGCAGCATATCCTCATCTGTTTGTACTTCTTGTTGTGTACCTTCTAGTTGGAATAGATGCGTAGCCGATTCCTCCTGCACATTTGTCAAGGCAGTACATCCCATGCGAGGAGAATGTCCATCTTTCTCCCAAGGAGGAGCTTATGGATTCGAACTGTACTCCTCTGAGTCAGCAGCACTACCTCCGTACCACTAAGCCACCAAAGCTCTCTATCTCTATATACATATTTAGATAAATATACTCTAAGGATTACTTCTTTTTTAAAACAGAAATTTAAGAACATAGTTGGTGTAAGATTTGCTAAAAGCCTTACCTTCAGTGACTCCCAGCTCATCTTGAAATGCTTCTGCAAAATTTATGTTCTGCAGCAGACCATGTTTTGGCAGTTTCTTTTCTATAATCTCTGGCTTATGCAGTAAACCCCTAAAAGGAGTTTTTTTTTAGTAAAAAAATTATTTTGCATGAAAAGTTTTCTTAATTAGGTTTTTGGTAATACATCTGGCAAATCCTACTAACATTGTGACACATTAGTATGGCAGTCTATATTCAAGGGCTCTACAACTAGGAAAAAGTACTTTAAAATAAATAAGAATGCAACATACCAGATGTTTAAATCATACCCAATTTAAGTAAATACTCTCAACTCATTTCAGAATATTATATATTCAATCAGACGTATCAAATTTCTAAAAGAATGTGCTTTAAATAGCCCAATTTCATCTTTGTGTAAGACAAAGGTGTCTTCTAAAGTATGATCTCCTGTTGAGTACAAGAGAGCACTTAAATATAAAGGCAGGTACACTCAAAATGAACAGAGGTGAGGGCCCCACAGGGGTCCATTAGTCACAGTAAGATAGCTATTAGCCAAAAAATGTTACTAATACCACTGAATATCACCAATTTACTAATAAACGGTGGAACATCCTCTATAAATTTTAACTCCCAAATCACTTAGGCCTTCACTGACTCTACTGGGGAGAAATAAGTTAAAAATATTTTCTAAAGTAAGTTACCTACCTTCGATATTGCTGTCTTGAAATTTCATCACCACCAAAGAAGTATACAGTAGATATTTCTGTTGTCATTCTGTAACTGCTTCTTCTGTCTGTTGGATTATATATGATAGCAACACGCTGATGCAAGAAAAAAATTCAAGAGTTAAACATTCTTTTCTAGAATACATCATTTCACTCTAAATAAGCTGACAACACATTAACAAAACTGAAAAAGGAAATAGACAACACTACTACAGTGCTGGGAGACTTCAATACACCCCTCTCAAGAAAAGATAGAACTACCAGAAAAAAAACTCAACAGAGATACTGAAGAATTAAATCACACAATAAACCAACT